GTATCTGTGTTTATGATTGCGCTATATATAAATGTGTGTGTGTGTGTGAAATATGTGTATATGCATTTACCTTTATATTTGTATATATTTGTGCATGTATATATTTATGTATATATATATATATGATCGGCGGAGTTAAGTGTAGTTGCGGTGATGTGTGTATGCCTACTAATAATTTCACCTGCTATCACTATTTACGATTAAGACGCGAATTGTTTGCGTATTGAGGAAGTCTGCCTGATATTTAGATACACATCGGCGATAATGAGCATATCCCTCTCTGGTTTGTACGTTACACTGACCCTTTCTCGTCCCGAACGATCCCCATAAAAATCACAGCGCTGCTACACATACAAGCGCTCCTGAAAACCGAACACGCACGACTGCCTACCAGACGCCCTATCGGCCGATCAATCAACATCCCAAACGCATACAGCTACGATACTATGGAGGACCCGAGAACTGTAGATACAGAAACACACCATATGGACGCTCGGGAGGCGTCTGTGAGCTGGGAGGATGCGGCATATTGCACTAGTGTGTATATAGAGGGGCTGCACTGTATTCTGGACGATGTCCAGCGGAATGTGCAGAGGCTGATGACTCACCTGCGGTCGGATTGACCAGATGAACGCGGAATAGACATATAACGACTTTGGAAGAAGAAAAAATACACGGGTACATGGTGGAATCATCTACCTACGGTTCATGCGCCTTTTAAGAGTAAAAGGAGGGCGAAATAAACGCATCCGTAGTGTGATTTAACATTTTATAATGTGTTTTAGGCTTGTATGATCGGCACGTTCAAACCGAAGCAATTTCCCAACACCCCGTACAACGTACTACTACAAAATTTAACACCAGTCAACAGACCGCCGATAAACAAGTGCAGCCCCAATACAACCGCGTTTGTACAGTGCACGATTTGTCAAAGCTACCAAGCCGTCCTAAGCCTGTCTATCACTCTGTACTCTGCCATCCTACCCTTGACTATCCTACATACACATATCCATCCACACCAACTGTGGACCAGATTCAAAACACCTCCTGACAGCCGATGATAGCCTTGAGTGAGAACAACATCTGACAACACCGCGCGAATAAAGCAGACTCCTATGCAGCCCTTGTCACCATAACCCATCCAGTATACTTCTTCGGCCAGAAATTGTCCCCAAGTCAACAGTTGGTGAAGCCAAGGGCAATAGCTCTTACTACGACATACAGGCGTATGGGTGCTCTTATTTCATTCAAACCATCGAACCGAACCGAGGTCACTATACAAATTCATAGACAACTACATGGTATCGTATCCTCGCCGATTCAAAGCAAGACGTAATCGTTGCTTGAATCGAGTTTCAATGTACTCAGTTTGGCTGCCGTATTCGCATCTATCTTCAAATATCGGATACGCCACTTATATTGCACCACTGAACCCGGGCATCCCGGACCATACAACCTTACATGCGACCGTACACCTTTTCCGAGCCTTTGTGCTAAAACAGTAGAACTCGCCATACTCGCAGCTATTCTCCAACTTCGCATACAGCTGTTCTCAGCAAGTCGCAACAATCACTCACAATCCCGTAAATCAGCCGCACCCCAGAGCATCTCAAGCTCTCATCGTCGCATACTGATACTATTGAATACCCATGCATACATCTCTCGTGTATGTATTGTGTTTCCCGGCACATCGTGCCGCTTAGTCCTGTTTCACCTTAAAAAATAGTTGATCCGACGGCCTGCGTGTGTCGATTGCTCGATCCCTTCGCATTCATCGTACTGTCCCTCGGGCCTGGCGTCGGCACTCATACCACTAAACTCGACACTTCGCTCTATAAACCTGCAACAAACAAACAAACAAAAAAACCCTTCCTCGACCTATCCAAGCGCACCTCAACTGTCATCTCACCTTCATTTACATATTCTTACTTTGTTGCTCAGCCAACTCCTGCTTCTCGTAGACACTCAAACGCGTGGTAGCACTGGCAGGGCCCACGCTTTCCTCTAACTTCATACCCATATACCCCACTGCGGCGGCCAAGGGAAAGACCACTATGGCCACAGCTTGTCTTGCATTGTTGCCCCCTATAGCTCGTAAAACGTTGGCCCACATTGCGTTGTCTTATGTGACTGACTGATTCTGATATGAAATATATAGGATGTGTAGATCCATCCGTGTATATTTGTACGTGAAAATGTATGCGTCTACTGACTACTCTGTGAAGTCTCTGGGCCATCCTTCTAAACTCAAAACTGCGGGTGTAAATAAAAATGTCACTGTGCCCAGGAACTAGGGTTTCTAGGGTCCTGGTAATGATTCCAACAGCACGTGAGGGCGAGGTTGTGTGGTTAGAGATGTGAGCGATTAAGTCTCTATACTCTATTAGTATGTAGTGTGCTTCAATGTTTATGCACAGATCTCCTAGCTGACTCACATAGTATAGGTTACATACAAGTCCTCGATGGTAGCGCTTCTGAAAGACGCAAATATGGATGTAGATATGGATACGCACCCTGATTGGGAGACCGACCTGTTCCAGTGGGGACGGTGTCTGGGCTGTCGGCCGCTAGATGTCAAGGTAGCACTTGCTGGCTTATAACTTTACTGTGTAATTTGTTGTATTGCTTCCGTCAAATCTGTGTACACACAAGACAGTCGTATGCAATGAGAATTTTACTTCTGTTCTTGAACGCCAATTATTCGTAAAATAGCGTGTTCAAGTAGTTAGTGATCACCACACGGAGTGATTTCAACGTGTGAGGATATCATTTCGGACTCTCCGGTATGCGCGCTTCAGTTCTTATAGTTGTACTACAATTTCACCACGCCCACTGTAGTATACGTTCAGTAGCCTTAGCGCACCTTTACCGTTGTCATAGGCTACAGTTTGCAAAGCTTACCATATTTTTATTTTTAACCGATTTCGGGTTTAAGACAGCTCACATGCATGCACACTTTGCACCACGTGTAGGTCGATACTGCACCATACGGTGGACGGTGCTTACTTTGCACTACCGCAAAGGATGTTGGCGATTTGATTGTATCCATACCAAGTATGTAGATTCAGAGAGTACATCATATGTATGTATGTATGTATGTATGCATATATA